TAATACCCAGGACTGCTGGATTAACATGTTAGAATGCTGCTGACATACGTCATGCTGTTCAACTCATAGCATCAACTTCAAAGCTTAATATCACTAGACTTATTTCTATTTTTGATTTCTGTTTTGTAACAGTCTGTATAGCCCAGGGTGGTCTTAAATATATTCTTCTGTTTTCCCAATACATGCTGGGATTACAGGAAAGTACCGTAATCCACACACATCCGTTTTTAAGTGGAGCTGGGAACGGAATCCAGAGCCCTAGGGATTCAGGCAATGCTCTCCTCCTGAACACGTCACCCCTCACCTTAACTTCTGGTAAGAAAACAAGTTGTCATTGTCATTACACAGCTGCAGGGCAGTCTCCTGCAAGTAGACAGTGCATTAGCTCTCAATCTAGAGCAGGCTCTTACTACCTGAACCTTGACTGCTTCTCCTGTCCACCAACATACGTGCACAGCCACCTTACCCAGTCACTTCCCTATCAAGGTAAAGAAACTTCAAAGTTAGTTAATGAACTACGAAGCCCAAAGAAGGGATAATTCAAGAACATGACAGCTTCCTTGCAAATAGGAAAATTATAAAAATTAGCTTAAGAACAGCACCTAACAGCTTTAAAGTTTTTTGTTGTTTTGGTTTTTTTGGGTTTTTTTGGTTATATTCAAATCAGTATTCCAAAGGAATCCCAGGAATCAGATGAGGAGAGATAGAAGTGGCTAACCTGTACCCTGGAATACAGCAGTTTTACCAGGATGATTCTCCTTCCCATTGTAAACTCCCTCTGGCTTGTGTTAAGATAACAAGGCTCAAACCCAGGGGCATCTTGAAGTAGTAAGTGTGGCACACATATGATTACAAAGGATAAGTGAAGAAATGAGGAACTGAAGAAATGTAAGGCATTACGGAGACATTATGTGACAGTGTGACTATGGAGAGCATCCTGTGGCTGACACCCTTCAGTGGTGTACTCCGTTGTGTGGCCAACACTTTCCTCAGTGTCCCTCAGTGACTCCATTCTTTTCTCTTCACTGCCTTCTGACACAGCAGCTTTTCAGTGTCTCTATTCTGGTAATTTCTCAAACTTTCAACAATTTATATTTCAAAATCCTATATAAAGTTTATATGGCTTTGCCCATGTACCACACATAAGAAACCATATAGATGAAACAGGATTACTCACCATTAAACAAGCCCTTTTTTTTTTCCCCAGAGGTAGCTCTCAACAAAACTGACTAATCTTGCATCTAGTTGTGACTTCATCCTTCTTTTATGGAAGAACTAAAGTTCTCTCCAGTCTTATTTATAAGAGCCCAGGGAAGGAAAGAAGAGAGAGAGAGAGAAAGAAAGGATAGGACTCAGATTCAGAAATCAGGAGGAGCAAGTAGTAAGGGCCACAGGAGCTACTGTGGGATAGAAGGAAGGAGCGGCCCTGGAGGAAATACCCGGCATGCTCTCTTGTTCCTCCTGACTAAGATTCCCTTTCAGATGTAGTCAGCAAGAAAATTGGCAAAATATCTCTAAAGTGTATTGGGAAACAGCATGATTAAATAGTATACATAACTGTCATATTTTTGGATCCTAGTTTTCTCAAGCCAAACACAAAAAGTATCCATACATTAGGACAGAATGGGAGGGGACAAGCAAGTATACATCTAGAAACTTACTGTGGAAAAAAAAAGATTTTTTTGTATTCAAGATAACTTTAGCAGGAGCTCTGAGTTCCTGACATCCTGCCTGCCTGCCTGCCTGCCTGCCTGCCTGCCTGCCTGCCTGCCTGCAGCCAAGCACTGACACACAGGTAAAGCAGCAGGGAGTGTGGCTGGCACCCCTCACCCAGGCCAGAGCACACACAACTCTTGAAAAAGTGCTGCCTTTGCCTCCTGCCTAAATCCTCCAGTTTCCACAGTCACTTTGATTTGAAATCCAAATCAAAACATTTTATGTACAAACTGACTTCACTAAAGCTACAGAAAAGACACCAAGTGCCACTCAATACAGCAGAGTAATCACATCCCCAAAGACAGCCCAGAGCTGTACTTTACAGGAGAATTCCTCGTTGGCCTTCCTACAGAGAAGTCAAATCTACAGATCCACAGATCAATACAGAACAGTCTTTCCAAAAGGGCAGTTCACTGAAAGGCGCTAAAGAAGATGGCCTGCGACAGTTGAAACTGACAGAAGTGTTCTTGTGGGAGACGTTTAATGCACACAAGGTTATGTTCCTCTTCAGAATGCTAACAGCTCTGAGATTCCAGTTTGCTACTTGGAAGTTTAACATAGTCCCAAAGGTGTATTAACATGATACACCAAGATAACAGAAACCCACCAGTAAATACAGGTGCCCTGATTACAAGAAAGCACATCCTATCTGGAAGAAACATGTAAGAGAACAGAAAATGGATAAACTAATTCCTACCGAGAAAAGCTTGCAAAGAGACTACTCAGGAAAAAGAAATAATGCTGAAGGGTTAGAAAGTTATTTAAAAATGCCAGAGAAGCAGAAAGAACGGTAAACACATTTTTCTGGTGTAAGATATACCTTGAACTATAGAGCATTACTCTGAGGAAAACCTTTAGAAAGGTAGTAACAGAATTCACAAATAGGATGATTTGGTCTGTCGAAGCAATTCAGAAATACTCCTGTTTCATTAGCAATAACTAAGTAGAGCCAATCAAGTCTTTCTCTTCGTAATGATATGTCCTTAAATGCACATGAACTCAGTAAGCCAAGAATGTCCAGTTTTGGGAATGGGTGTTGAACTCAAATGAAGGAAGAACAAGACACAGTCCATGAGACTAGTGATCTACTAAAGCAGTCCAGAGTAGGCACAAGCACCTGGATGCTAGGAAACTCCATAAAAACAGCCCTTGAAGTGACCCAACTCAGCAGTAAGGGTAGCCATGCTGGTTATCTGGGACAACTAATTGCATTAGGTCTAAAACAACTTCCCTGCCCAAAGGAAAAGACATCTCTGCCCCAGTCAGAATCCAAGGAGACAAACCGCAAAGCCTCGGGTGATCAGTTTGGACTCCAGTGTTATCTCAAGACCACTATGCTGGTTTGAAACTAAAGCTTAGTTTTGTTTCCTTAAATATTAAAACAATCATCAGTGAAGTTCCACCACCATAACCCTTACTAAGAGACCAAGTTTAGAGTCTAAACATACTGGTCTGCTGTTAACATACACCTTGGTTTTCTTACGCAGGTGCTTACAAATTTACATGAAACATTCTTCCTTTAAACAATTCTCTCTTCCTATAAACAGGACTATACCTTGGGTTTGTTAAAAATTAGCATTTAGAAAAGCTATAATACAATAATAAAATTAAAGGGTTCAGTAAGTGAGGTAAAATTTATAACAGCAATTTTTAAACTACTATTTCTAGATGTATTCCTTCAACTCTAAGTTTGCTTCTAAAATGTTGGTTACCTTCACAGGAAGATAGGGACATCTCAATAGTTAGCTCAATTTAAAATCACTTTAAAAGTGTCTGATGAATAGTCCAAGTGAGATGTGTGTCTTTAAGTCAACTCACAACAACACCAGAACAAAACATGGCTTTAAAATCTCATTTTCTACGTTTATAATACCAGTGTTTTACAAACATACATTTAGTGTGGATCTCACTGCAAGCAAAGGCCCCATCCTCTTTGGATGCCAACCCCTTAGAGGAATGTAGATACAAAAAAACTGTTGCTTAAAGAGAAAGGAAGCTGAAGATGGTGAGAACAGAGAGAGGAGTGGAAAGCATAAGGCTGCCCTCAGCGTTAAAATGGATGCAGCTTTCTAAGAAGAAACCAAAAGTTTACCCTATTCTATAGTATTGATTAGCTTTCAAAAATAAATATGCACAATATGGCCTTCCTTGTCTCAGTTTCAAAAGGAGTTAGCTGAAGAAATACAACAGCAACACAGCAAAGCAGAGAGGGAAAGTGTCTGCTTCACAATGCTGACTCTGGAGAGTCAGGCAGAGAAGACAGCATCCTAACACCCACCTGCTGTGGTGCCCCAGAAGAAGCAGGTCTTCACTAGTGTTAGGGGTATTAAAGAATACACAGTCACGCTGAGGGAACAAGAAAGAGGAAGACGACCGCACTTCAAAAGCAATCACTCTTTAATTTTCACATGCACTGTTTCTCTAGCCTTTACTGCCAAAGGTGTGGAGAAACATTTCCAGGCTCGTGTGGTGAGTTACATACCAGGCAAAGAATGGATGAAGGCCCAGACGTCGTCGACCGTCCATATGGAGGGCTCCGTCTGTGCGACTGGGAGCAAGTCACTGTTCTCAGGCATCTTCCTAATCCTCACATCTCGAATCTCACGCTCTCTTTCGCGCTCACTCTGCCTGCGCAGACGGGTCGTCATAGCAGAGGGCACAGAATCTTCATGAGGGGCCAAGTCTTCTTCTGCAGATGGATAAGTAATTGGAAGCTGGAAAATGCAGTACAAGTAAAATACAGCATTGCACTTCCCTTGCATTTCTGAAAAGGACATTGTACATTGAAAAGCTTTCTACAGACCTGCCTAAGGATATGTTCTCTTGCTGCCCCTTCAGGGCCACTTGGACGACGGCCCCGATGCCCAAGACTTTGATTATCAGGCTTACGATTCCAACGACTAAGTGCAAATTTTTTAGAACAGCTAACGTTGTACCTAAGAAATTCAAGAAAGAAAAAATAAGCAATATATGGGACAGCCCATAGTATTAAACTGTAACTTTAAAGTACGATTGTGACACAGTAAGTACTAGATAGTTATTACCCAGTACTAGTACCTCACACAGTACATCCAACTTAGTGAATGGATTTACTTATGCTTCAGGTCAAAAATGGCCTCTGTGTATATCATAAAATATCCCTCAACATAGTACTAGACACCTATAACAATGTAATGATATTTTCTCCTGATTATATAAGAATAATGAGAAACCTGCAAAATGCAGAAGATAATTTGCAAAGCAGCAAGAAAGTTTATCATTCAAGAAGAGATATTTTATAATAAATACTTCCAATGCTTATTTAAACTATATTCCAAGTAATATGTTTAGAGATTTGTTTTGTCTTACTCTTTTAGTGTGTGTGGAAAGGGATATGCAGATGTGCATCACAGATAGATACAGTAGCACATATGTGTGCAGACACATATACACATGTGGAGGCCAGAGTTTGGCTCTCAGCACACAATGGAGGCTCACAAGCATCTGAAACCCCCATTGCAGGGATCCAATGTCTTCTCTTCTGCCTTCCACATCAGGCACACACATGGTGCACATATATCCTTGGAGGCAAAACACTCACACATTAATTTTGTTACTGATAACTTTTCCAGAATAATATAAGTAATTTTGCTTACCTATGTTTTATGAACATATCAGAGATGTAAATAAAGAATACTATGAGAACTAATAGACTATTTCTCTTCTAAAAATGCAAATGTGCCCTGAGAGCTACTAAAATCATTGATACTCCTGCTGTGTTCACTATGGGCTTACCTGTGGGCTCGGCAATGTTTTGATTTCTAATTAGTACATCAGGTGACCAAACTTACTACTGAGGAAAGGAGAGAACTAGTTTTAAGCCTGACTAGTCTTTACATAGTTACATAGTTAACTCTCCAAGACTGACACCTAAGTGGCCAGGTAAAGAACAGCAGTGACTCAGTGACCTGACAGCCTCTCAGTCATGCTTCACTGTGCTAGCGTCCCGGGCCTCTAAGGAGGATTATCTGAAGTATACTATGTGCCTAACCAGTCATCATCTCTGGGAGAAGGGTAATGAGAGGTAGTATTAAGCGTCCTGATAAATTCCAAATAGTCAAGAGGTTGAGAATATCCTCAAAGACAATTTCCCAAACTTCCAAGTATTTTTAACCAGCATTAGAAAACTACTGCTCTTTCATGTGTTTTATGCAAACTGAAATTCAAGTTAAACATAAATCCAAATAACCCAATTATAGACCTGCCGCTACTCGTGGATAAACAATTGAATAATGGACTGCAACAGTGAGCTCACTTTTGAAAGAAACTTATTTCTGTTCTACTCACTAAAGGTAAGATCAACTAACTAGTTCTGCAGCAACTCTACAAAATGATATGTTCAAGCAAGAAATTCACTGGCTTCTTAAGGAGAATATAAGTTTCAAAATAATCAACCTAAACACACGCACATCTTCCAAACGAGCATCAGGTATTCCTAACTGCCAGGCTCTCTCCAGCTCCCACATTAATCTTTATAGACTAGTATTCTCTCTAGTCATGCTGGTACCTGGCTATGATCCCAGCACCTGAGAGGCAAAAACAAGAGGATCACAGAATGCTAGAGACCAGCCTGGGCCACATAAACCCAGGCCAGGGAAGGCTATCCAGCAAGATCCTACATAGAAATAATTTTAAAATTAATTACTAATTAGTAATTCATTTTTTAACCCACAAGACTAAGATTCTGTAACATACTAATCATGCTACAGGAGAGATTCTGTACATCACATCCTTGCACCAGATGACTGCTGCTTCGTTACAGGATATTATGAAACTGCATTATTATACAACTTACCAAGTAGCAATCTCTAGTAATGACATAGCAGAGCAGACTGCTGCAGATGGCACCAAATCTTCTCTGTGTCATCAGACCTCACTCTTACCTATGCTCAACTGTAACCTGTCTTGACTTTCTGCAGAAATTACTAAGCAAATCCAAGCACACCAACATACCTTTTGGCACATGACATTGTACAGAATCGTTTGGACCGTAAAAATTCATTAGGATATCCCATTTTTCCACAGAATTCACACTTGAGTAACTCACTATCCATTTCTTCCAATGTCTCTAAAAATGGAGGGAAAAAGTCAAACATTTGAGTGTGTCAAATTTCTTTCAGCCTAATTCTAGTTATGTAACGCAATCAGACCAATATGTCTTCAACTTTTCTGATTCAGAGCTACTTGGCTAGGCTCTTACTAATTCCTTGTGTCTACATTAACATTATGGGTTTTTCTATATAGTAAGTATATTTATACAAATAAGTATAAATTAGTTTGCTAAGAGTCCAGCATGTCTAAAATGTACAAACAACAAGTTATGATTTATAATCACTGAGAAATGAATAAGTGCCATATACCCACTGCCCACTAGATGGGACATTTCAGATAGCAGAATATGGATATGATTTTGGTACTCTATGCTGTGAAGATTTAGAGCATAGAAACTCTTTAAGTATAACCAATTTACAAAAGTTCCTTTTAATATTAAATACAATTAATTCTGCTTTTAAATCTCAAACAGACTCATAAGTCCAACTACTGGTGTGTTTTCTATGGTATTCCCCACTAAGTAAGAATCTAACCCCAACCCCAACCCTCTCCTCACTTTTCTCGCCTGCTTCAGGAATACCACCTAAAGCTCAATCTGCATGACCTTCCCAAAGAACGGAAGCAAGTGGAGAAACAACTAGCTCTGGTGGGGTCCCAAGTACATCATCTTTACTAATGAAATCACAAGGCAGGAAGTGGCCTTCTTGGTTTGTATTTTGTAAATGGTGCAGGAAATCAGATTTAGGGCTTCTCATCCTAGGCAAATGGTCTACATCTTCAGACCAGGAGTGGCCATTTAAAGGAGACTTTCTACCTTGCTATGTTTGCAAGTATGTATGTAAGCAGGTATGTGTACTCAACTACCTGGTATGTATACAAGGATATTTAGTTACAATGTAGATACAACTGTAAAAAGTAAAATAAAAACTGCCCCTTCACAAGGTCCCAGTTGTAGCATTATTGTCAACAGATAGTTTCTGGAGAAGGAGATTCATGTTCCCTTAGGTTTGTGGCCCCTGGTAAGATGCTCCAGTGGACCCCAAAGCCATGCACAGACTGGTAGCAGTAACTGAACTCAGTGGAGGCGGGGCACAAAACTGGGAGAAGGAAATGATGGGGAAGCTGTCTGGGACAAGCTGAAGGGGACCACACAGAGTGCATTTAATCAAAACTCATATACATGTAGGATATTTTAAAGAACAAATGTAAATGTAGTTTCTAAAAAATGAAAAATTCTTGGGCAGTGGTGGCACACACCTTTAGTCCCAGCACTTGGGAGGCAGAGACAGGAGATTTCTGAGTTTGAGGCCAGCCTGGTCTACAGAGTGAGTTCCAGGACAGCCAGGGCTGCACAGAGAAACCCTGTCTCGAAAAACCAAAAAAAGAAAAAAAAGAAAAATTCTGCCCCTTCCTAGAAACCTAGAGATGGCTTCAACCAAGTTGCTTGTCAGTCCTAACCTTCACATCTGCCCTTGGAGTTTGCTGTCCAATTCTCAGGAGTATCACTTGTGCCTGCACTGATTTGGAAAGCCTGGATCAGAGACAGAACTCACTCAACCACTACCACTGACAGAACTACCAAGAGACCATCTGCAAGTTGCTCAAAGCTTTGCTTCAGAGACTTTTAAAATATTAACACAACTGTGTAAAATACCTCATAACATGCTACTACTGTTGCTGTTGAGAAAAGGAAGAAATCAAACAGATGCTGTTTAAGAACAACATACCTGTAAAGCAGAACATCAGTTTATTCTTCATAAAGAAGTAACAACTGGAAATGTCTACTCTAGCCTAGGCTGGTGGTGCAGGCCTGTAACCCCAGCTACATTGGAAGCTGAGACAGGAGGATGTCAAGTCAAGGCCTACATGAACAACTTCATGAAACCCTATCTCCCCAAATTAAAATACAAAAAGACTAGGGATAAAACTTAGTTGTTAGGTACTTGCCTGGCACATGTAAGCCCCAGGTTCCAACCCCAATACTGGTAAAGAATAATAATTCCTATCCGAATGTTTGGGTATATTTTTAACATTTGTGAGCAAAAGCATAGAAAACCAAATAAACTTAAGATAAACCTATCTAGGTTTAGCTAATAACAATGGGCTTCTACCTATAGACACCTGGTCATTCTTCACTTTCTCTCAGAGACAAATCCCAGAAGCATGGGCACACAGGGTGAAAACTACTTTCTGCCCTAGGTGTGCATGACCTCTGACCCCTGACCCCTGAGATATGTAAGTAGAAATCCCAGCAAATCCAGACAATACCTTTCTCTGTCTCCCCAGTGTGAGTGTGACTGAAGGTGGGCCATACCGGAACTGCACTGACAGAAGGCATAGAGCTAGGATGCCCACCATCACCTAGCATCAGACTGAAGACTTGTGGACTGTGTCAGAGAAATCGAACCTGTATCATAATACATGCAACCCTTCAGTTTCTTTGTGTAAAGAGTCTCAACAGACTTGAGATCACAGGAAGATCAGCAGCAAAGAGGGGAAATTACCTGAAAACTGATCAATGCAATGATTTACCAGGGAAGATGACACACTATTTTGATAAATTACAAGCTATTATTTGAAAATTCTGATTATAGAACCAGCCCAAATAAAACAACAGTTGATGCTTGTGCTGATTAGTTCTTCTCAGCTTGACACAAAATTGAGGGTTTGGGCTACTTGAGACCTTTGAAGTCTACAATATCATGGGTAAGTCTCAGACATCAGACATAAGCCCCGACACTGTTGGAGTTTGGTTGTTTTGATCTGTTACTATGTCCTGGTTCTTCCCTTTTAGAATCAAAAAGAAGATAACTCATTTTAAATTTTATCAGAGCCCATAGTTGAGACTTTGGACTTCTGAAGTATTGAAATATTTAAAGACTGCAGGACTTTATTATACACAGTTGGACTATGTTTTATACTGTGCTATTAACATGGAATCTTGGGGATGAACAAAAAAGAAAAGGTTACAATAGAATAAGTGCTTGTGTGAAGTTACCAAGGGGTCAACTGTACTAGTTTTTTGTCAACGTGACAGAAACTAGAGTCATTTGGGAAGAAGGACTTCAAATGAGGAACTTCCTCGGTCAGACTGGCCAATGGGCATATCTGTAGGACATTTTTTAAATTAAAGATTGATCTGGGAGGGTCCAGGCCACTTTGGGCAGTACCCCTCCTGCTCCTGGGTTTTATAGAAGAAAGCAAGCTGAGCAAGCTATGGGGAGCAAGTCACTAATCGGTGTTCTTTCATGGCCTCTGTTTCAGTTCCTGCCTCAGAACTTCCCTTGATAACGGACTAATAACCTGTAAGGCAATTAAACCTGCCAAGCTGGTTGTGGTCAGTGTTTTATCACAGTAACAGAGAAGCAAATGTGGACAATCCTTTACAAAGAGATCTATATGTAATATGAATTTTAATAGTTTGCCTACTTTAAAAAAATGAATGTTTTTATACTGAAATTATATATACAAAAGCCAAAGCTACTAAGCAAATGACCTCACCATTTTACTCTGTATTACACTGAATGAACATTGTGTATACTGTAATAAAAATGCTCAAATGATAAAAAATGGCCTTGGAAAGTTAAAACTATCAAGTACTTATAAATGTTAGCATTTTCTATAATATTTCTAGATCTTCCTGCCCTTCCTGTGGCATCCCATCCTGCTAAACTGTTCACTGCTTTGATCTCGCCTTCCTCTTTACACTTTGACTACAGATACTGACTATATGCCAAACCTCTAAATACACCCAACAGAGAGATGACCAGCAAAATTCCAAAGAATTTTGAATTTTGAAAGAATTCAAAAAATTCTTTCAGCTTCTGACAACTGCCAAAAAAATTCAGTAAAGTTCCCTCAAGTCCAAGGTCTTCATCCCAGGTCCTGTAGCCCTGACTCCAGCTGTCTTCCACAGTTCCTCATGCACATCCTTTGTGCACCATTCATGTCCTAATGAGAACTGGTTTTCATATTATCTTAAGTCTATGCTCACCTCATTGTTTCTTTTAAGGCAAAATGTAGTTCAAACTTCATCAATGTAAGAAATTCACCAAGCTCTAAATAATTTCAGTCAGTTCTGTTCTTCCTATCTGGACATTCACTGAAAATTGAACACTTGCTGCTCTGTAATTCCTTAGTTCCCAAGTAAACACAAAGCTCCTTAAAGGAGGGAGAGTATGTTTTCACTTCTTCCTGTATGTACCCTCCATGTGCCAGCACACTAGCAATGTTATGTACTGTCCATTATGAGCCACAACTATCATGAAACATGTTATAAAACTTCCCAGATTTCCATGTTCCTCAGCTGTGTCCACCAGGGTGATATGATAAACACATTTTAGCACGGAACCTTCATTTACATATGTTTTACAGATAAGAGGAAGAAAAAGGAATACCTAAACATTCTTCTTTATTGCTTTGCATCTTAAATAAGTGTCCTCACATATAATCACATGTACAACTAAAAACATGTATCTGAAAATTAAATGAAATATAATCCTAACAATGAAAGCCACCATAGTGACCTTGTTTGGCTCCTCATTTATGTTAGAACATATCTGCTTTTAAGATGTCCCACTGTCTCAGCGAAATAAAATGAGGACAGTTCAGAGAGGACAGAGGAGAAGGAATGAAAAGACAGTGGAAAGAATGGGAAAGAGGAAAGCAAAGGATGCATGAGGGGATGGTGGCAGAGCAACTGAGCCAGGCCACAGCACTGCATGAGCCTGGTGATGGGGGCTCAACAGACTCGTCTCTACATGGGTGTGTGGAATGTTCCATGGTTAACAACCTTTTACATCACAAAGAATCAAACTGAACTTGAAATAATAAAAGTCAGTAAAAGTCAAATAACTATGATCAAAATTATCAAGAACAATCTCTCACGAAGATCCTCCTACATGATACAACTAGTTTGTTTTGTTTTGTTGGATCATTTTTTTTTAACCACATTCAGAGCCTCATTAAAAACAAAACAAGAAACACAGTGCAAGCATTTGCTGACTTTAAACAGGAAACTCAGGGCAGAGAACATCACTATTGTATCAAACTGTGTTTGCTTTCCCTCAGTCATTTTATCACCTCAGCTTAGAAGGGACATTCAGTATTAAAATATAGTCAGTTGAGGAGGAGTCTTTGACAATAAGGAGATTAACAGTACTTTTCTCTTAAACAGATGTCATCATCTATTGACTGAAGAGAACATCCTTAATGTAACTGGAATGTCCAGCTGGTTACAATAAGGACATCACCGTTGCAGGATATTTATCACACTGTGAACCCTGAGATTGTCAACTAGAAAAAACCTGTTTCTCATTGTGGTGAGGCTCAGCCCCAGCACACACCTTCAATCTAAAAACTTCCTGTAAACAAGAGCTAAATAAAGTCAAGATAGGTCAAGAGGTGGAGCAAGCAACTAGTTGACAGAGAACGAACATAAGAAAGCCGAGGAAAGAGAAAAGAGGCTTTTTGAGTTGAAGGGTATTTAAGATAGCGTGGAAGAGGAGGAAGAGGAAGAAGAGGGGGAAGAAGAGGAAGAGAAGGAAGAAGAGGAGGAGAAGGAAAAAGAGTAGGAGGAGGAAGAAGAGGAGGAAGAGGGAAGAAGAGGAGGAAGAGGGAAGAGGAGGAGGAGGAGGAAGAAGAAGAGGAGGAGGAGGAAGAAGAGGAGGAGGAGGAGGAGGAGGAGTTGTTTCCTTCTGAGACACAGGTGGAGTAGGAAAGTTAGCTGGGTGCTTTCTCTGCCTCTCTGAGCTAGTGGGCTTTCACCACAGCATCTGGCTCCTGAGTCCATTTGGTAAATCAAATATTTGGAATTTTGTTTTAAAAACAACATTTTGGCACTCAATGTGAAGCTTGAACCCATGACCCTAAGATTAAGCTCCCTGGTTGTGCTCTACACAATCCACACATGCTTATTAAAGAAAAACCTAAAATATATATCTCATATCAAACATCACAGTAAGAACCAGTCTAAAATCAAACACACAGATGTTCTTTATTTTTAAGCAAATTCAATAAAATATTCATGTTACTTAGGTCTGCTTTTTAAAAGCAAGAATTGGTTGTCCTGACTCAAAAAATGTTAAAATACTTTCTCTCACATATGATAGAACTTTGCCCTACCTAGAAATCAAATAACACCAATGTTGTTGGTTTTGTTGTTGTTGTTGTTTAATTATAAGACTAGTTTGCTTGCTCATTATTCTAATCAAATACATACAGTGAGTATGTAGACAAATCTGAATTCTTTCCAAGTGAAACTCCATGGAGACTAAAAAGCTACACCCCATTTCAAGAAGTAAAAGCCTAGGTTGAATAAAAGGGTTTAAGAGATCCACAGACCTTCAGCAATCATGTCTTCCATCTCTGTGTCAGATGAGTTATCTGCATGCTTTGTGTTATTCTGTAACTCTGGCTGAACACACACAGAGTTTACCACCTGATTATCCAAAAGAGGCCTTTTTTTCACAGGTTGTTCTATCAGCAATGATGAACGACTCACCTTTAAATGAAAAAGAGAATAAAAAATATCTAAAAATAATTCAGAAATAAATTAGTTTAATTTTAAAATGACCCCTTTGGGATGAATAGTATCAGTGATATTTACTTAATTGGTGATCAATCTGAATCATTAAAGGGACCAATTATTCCTCAAGTAAAACATAGTCTATACACACGCACTACTGCTAGCCAGTAGAATATATGCTGCAGGGTCTGTCAAATAGATTGTACTGCTGCTTTAGGCATGGAGCTTTAAAGAAGTCTTACAATCTAATGACTCTGCATTTGTAATATTAAAAGAGAAGTGATCATATTAGCCCGCACCAAGGGAAAGTAAAGTCCTAACTCTCAGTATATTTGGGACTTGAAGGAAAAGCAGTTGCTATTTGAATTATTTTGCAGTTGGAGGAATTGAATCCCAGGGTCTTGCACTGAACTATACCCTCTACTGTTGCCTTACAATGTTTTCAAGCTCACTTCTCACTATGTAGATCCTCTTGCTCAGCCTCTGTCCAATGCTGGGATTATACTCCTATGCAACACTCATGCCCAGCCTAATGCTTCACAATACTATTCAGTTCAGCAACGATCTCTTTTTCCCAGTGCCTTGAACACATAGACTAGCACTCTACTTATGGCTGTATCCACAGACATTTTGTAATTTGGTGGTGAAGATCAAGGATCAGTCATGAGTGTGCATAGGAGATACTTTACCTACAAGCTGAGCCTTCTCCCCAGTTCACATTGCCCCCAGACTTTTGTTTCCTATATTTTTTCTGTATTAATTTACTTTGAGAGATAATATTGCTAAGTTATCCAGACTGGCCTTGAACTTGAAATCCAACATCAACAGCATAAGTAACTAAGGTTACAGGCATGTGCCACCAGGCCCAACTTAAAATTTTAAAATTACTATTATTTTGATGATGATGGTGGTGGTGGCAGTGATTGTGTGTGTGTGTGTGTGTGTGTGTGTGTGTGTGTGTGTGTGTATGTGATATGTGAAGGGGAAAGCATGCACCACAGCACACATGTGGACAGCAGGGAACAACTTTATGGAGTTAAGTATGCTGTTTTCTACCTTTATGTGAGTTCCATGGACCAAACTCAGGTTGCCAAGTTAGCATGGAAATGGCCTTTACCTGCTGTGCCATCTTGCTGGTAGCTTTTAAAAGTACAAAGCGCTAAACAGACTGGACCAGAAAACAAATCCCCTTTGGCACATAAAAATCAAAACACTAAAGTGTACAGAATAACAAAAGAATATTAAAAGCTGAAAGGGAAAAAGACCAAGTAACATATGAAGGCAGACCTATTAGAATAACACCTGACTTCTCACTGGAGACTCTAAAAGCCAGAAAGGTCTGGACAGAAAGGCTGCAGACTCTACAAAGAGCAAAGATGCCAACACAGTCTTCTATACCCAGCAAAACTTTCAATCACAATAGGTAGAGAAAATAAGACAACCCATTATAAAACCAAATTTAAGCAATATCTATCTACAAATCCAGCCCTACAGAAGGTGCTAGAAGGAAAATTCCAATCTAAAGTGGTTAAACCACAGCCAAGGAAACACAAGGAATAAATTATCTCAGACCAGCAAATAAAATGAGCCCCTGCCCTCCCCTTTCACACACACACAACAACAACAACAGCAGCAAAATAACAGGAATCAACACTGTTCATTGATATCTCTTAATATCAAAGGTCTCAGATTTCATAATAAAAAGACGCAGACAAAACATATTAGAAAACTTCTGCTGCATCCATGGAATATTCCTTAATATCAGCAATAGACATCACCTTAGGGTAAAGGATGGAAAATACATTCCAAGCAAATGAATGTAGAAAATAGCATTTTAATATCTCACAAAATAGACTTCAAACCAAAATTAGTCAAAAGAAATAGTGAAAGACACTACATAGAGGAAAACTCCACTAAAAGGACATTGCAGTTCTTAACATCTATGAATGAAAAATGAGGGCAACTAAGTTTATAAAAGAAACCCGACTACAGCTTAAATCAAGTATCGCCTGTCACACACTGAAGTGGAAGACTTCAATACTGCCTTCCGATGAGTGGACAGGTCATCCAGATAAAAACTAAACAAGAAAAACGCTGGGGCTGACTGAAGTCGTATACCTAAGGGACCTAACAGATACTTATAGAACATTCCATCTAAACACAAAAGACTACACCTTCTTCTTAGCACCTTATGGAATTTTCTCTAAAACTGGAGATATAGTCAGACATAAAGCAACAAATACAAGAAAATTGAAAAAATTCCCTGCATTTGACCACCACAGGCTAAAAAGTATCTACATTACAAAACAAAAAACAAAACATGGGAAGATTCAATAATAGTAACTTCACACCCAAAAGGAATGGGAAGAAAAAAAATTAAACTCAGGGCTGAAGTCAATAAGATAAAAGCAAACAAAAATTTTAAAAAATGAAACAAAGAGTTGATTCTTTGCAAAAATGAGTAAAATTGACAAACCCTTATCCAAATCAACTAAAAGGTAGAAAAAGAAGTTCCAGTTTAAGAAAGTAGAGATGAAAAGAGGGACATACCCACAGACACCAAGGAAATCCAGAGAATCATGAGGAAGGCTTTAAAAACCTATGCTCCATCAAATTGGAAAATCTAAAATGGATAATTTTCTTGATACAAACCACTTACCAAAGTAAAAAAAGGATGAGATAAGCAATTTAAACAAACCTATAACCTCTAGTGAATTAGAAGCAGTAATTAAAATTCCACCAGGGCAAGATGGATATACCACAGAATACTACCAGACTTTCAAAGGTTTAATGCCAATACTCATCAAATTATTCCACAACACAGAAACAGAAACAACGTTGCACAACTCACTTTATAATGCTACAGTCACCTTGATTCCTAAACCACATAAATACCCAATAAGGAAAGAAAAACAGACCAATTTCCCTTATATAGATACAGAGATTATCAATAAAATGATTGTAAACAAAATCCAAGAATACATCAAAAAGATCATCGACCATAATCAATCAGACATCATCCCAGAGATGCAGAGATAGTTCAACATATATAGTTCAATAAATTTAACCCACCATATAAACAAACAGAAAGACAAAAACTACATGATCATCTTACTAAATGCAGAAAAGACCTTTAACAAAATCTAGCACCCCCTTCATGATTAAAGGTCTTGAGATATTAGGGATACAAAAAAGATACCTAAATATAATAAAGGCAGTTTACAGCAAGACCACAATCAACATCAACTTAAATGGAGAGAAATCAAAATCAATTCTAAAATCAAAACCATAACGAGTTTGTCTATTCTCTCCATACTATACAACATAATTGAAGTCTTGAAGTCTTACCTAGAGCAATAAGACAGCTAAAGGATATCAAGAGGATACAAACAGGACAGGAAGAAATCAAAGTATCTTTACTGGCAGATGTATATACATGCAGGTATCATACAAAAGTGACCCTAAACATTCCAGCAGGGAACTCCTACAGCTGATAAACACTTTCTACAAAGTAGCTACCTACAAACTTAACTCACAAAAATCAGTAGCCCTCCTACATACAAATGACAAACAGGCTGAGAAAGAAATTAGGAAAATAATACCCTTTAGAATAGCCACAAATAGTATAAAATATCTTGGGGTAACTCTAACCAAGCAAGTGAAAGACCTATAGGACAAATATCAAGCCTTTGAAGATATATCAGAAGATGAAAGCTCTCCTATGCTCATGGATCGGTAGGATTAACATAGGAAAAATGGTCATTTTACCACAATCTAAAGATTCAATGTAATTCCCACCAAAATCTCAACACAATTTTTTTTTAACAGATCTTGAAAGAAAAATACTCAACCTCATATGGAAAAACAAAAAACTCAGGATATCTTTAACGCCCTATACAATAAAAAAGAACTTCTGGAAGTATCATCTCTGATCTCAAGCTCTACTACAGAGCAATAGTAATTTAAAAATGCATGGTTATTGGCATAAAAACAGATAGGTTGGGGCTGGAGAGATGGCTCAGTGGTTAAGAGCTCTGAACTCAATTCCCAGCAACCACATGGTGGCTCACAACCATCTGTAATGGAATATGATATCCTCTGCTGGTGTGTCTGAAGAGAATAATACTGTACTCACATACATAAATAATCTTAAAAACAAAACAAACAGAAAAAACCAACAGGTTGATCAATGGAATAGAAGCAAAGACCCAGATATAAATGATCTTTTTTTTTAACAAAGAATCCAGAATTATATAATGGAAAAAATAAAGCATCTTCAACAAATGGTGCTAATGTAACTAGATATCTGCATATAGAAGAATGGAAATAGATCCCTGCACAAAACTCAAGTCCAAATGGATCAAAGACCTCAACACAAAATCAGACACACTGAACCTGATAGAAGATTAATGGGGAATAGTCATGAACACACTGGCACAGGAGGCAACTTCCTGAGCAGAATATCTATAGCACAGGAACTAAGATAAACAATTAATAAATAAGACCTCATGAAACTGAAAAGCTTAAGACAAAAGTCACCTTCAATAGGACAAAATGACAGCCTACAGAATGGAAAAGATTTTAACCAACCCCACATCTGACAAAAGGCTAAAATATATAAAGAACTCAAGAAACTAGATACCAATTGCCAGGCAGTGGTGGTGCATGCCTTTAATCCCAGCACTTGGGAGGCAGAGGCAGGCAGATTTCTGAATTTGAGGCCAGCCTGGTCTACAGAGTGAGTTCCAGGACAGCCAGGGCTACACAGAGAAACCCTGTCTCGAAAAACAAAAACAAAAACAAAACAAAAACAAACAAACAAAACCCAAGAAACTAGACACCAACAAACCAAAAAGTTCAGTTTAAAAAATGGTGTACAGATCTAAACAGAGAATTCTCAACAGAGGAATCTCAAATGGCCAAGAAGCACTTTAAGAAAAGTTCAACATCTTTAGCCATTGGGGAAATGCAAATCAAATTACACTCATCAGAATGGCTAAGATCAAAAACATTAGTGACAGTTCACGCTTGTGAGCTTGTGGAGCAAGGGGACACTCCTCTACTGCTGGTGGGAATGCAAACTTGTACAGCCACTTTGGAAAGCAATTAGGCAGTTTCTCGGAAAACCAGAAATAAATCTACCTCAAAACCCAGCTATGTTACTCCTGGGCATATACCCAAAAGATGCGCCACTATACCACAAGAGCATTAGCTCAACCATGTATGCTGCAGCTATATTCATAATAACCAGAAAGTAGAAACAAACTAGATGTCCCTCAACCAAAGAATAGTTCAAGAAAATGTGGTACATTTACACAATGGAATATTACTCAGCTGTTAAAAAAAAATTAGTAACATGAATTTTGCATGCAAATGGATGGTACTGTTGGGAAAATCCAAAAGAGACTTACTCTAAGCACTACCACTTCATTTTTAGACTCCATTTAATCATAGGAAGAAACTAAATTCAAGGTCTCAGGTCCAAGAGGAGATGGGGAGTTTCCAATAGCTAACAGCTTCTGTTGTAAGAAAACAGTTGTCTGAGTCCGGGTAGCTCAAGGACAACTTGTAAGGAGACATTTGTCTGAGTCCAGTCATCTCAAGGGCAACTTCTCCATCTTGATGGCAGGGTCACACAAGCTCATGCTCCCAGACCCACCTTACTGGTGAAAACTCCCTTGCTCAACCCTTTATATCAAAACGTGATTACACAACACTACAGCCCACCCTGCTCCCCCTTGCCTCATTCTTTAATCCTTTAAATATGCTATTCAGCATTTCTACAGGTCATAGTTTAGCTCCTGAGTCTGTTCTGTGGCCAAATTTTTGTCAACTTCATTGAGCTGGCATTTGAGTTATGTTGGATGTATGTTAGATTAAAGCAAACCCCACACACTATAGAACTAGAAAAATTCACCCTGAGTAACCAGACCCAAAAAAATAAACATGGCATGTACCATAGTGGATATTAGCTGTAAAGGATAAACATGATAATCCACAGACTCGGGGAGGCTGACTACCAAGGGGGTCTCAAGGTGGGAGCAAATGACTCTCCCTACAAAAGGAAACTAGGAGACTACAGGTAGCCTACAGACAGGAAAAGGAGGGACAAGGTGGGGGGAAGAGGGAGGGAGAGACAACTGAAATTGGGCGGCATTTCTGGGGTGATGTAGAAACCTAGTGCAATGGAAACTCCCAGGAATCTACAAGGGTGACACTAGCTAAGACTTCTATTAAAAGGGATACAGAGCCTGAATCTCTGAACTCGTATAACCACGAAAGACTTCCAGTAAAGAGACTGAGACACCAAGTCAGCCACAAAACCTATAATCTGTCCTGCCTACAAGGTGTGTTGTGGTAAAAGTGGCACAGAAACTGGGAAAGTGAACAACCAAAGACTAGTCCAGCTTGAGACCTGTGCTATGAGAAGGAGCCTACCCCCGACACTGCCTGGATGACCAGGAACTAATAGCTCATACACCTAGGATAGAACCAAACATGATTGGAAAAACCAGAATGTCAATAAAATGATCCCTAATAAGAGTCCTAGTAAAGAGGAGCCTAGCATGCTTCACCCAGCAACTGATGGAAGCAGCTACAAAACACACAGCCAAATATCAGGTGGGAGCTCAGGAATCTGTGGAAGACGAGGAGGAAGGACTGAAGGACCCGGAGGGGTCAAGGACACCACAAAAACAAACAAACAAACAAACAAACAAACAAACACAGAATCAACTAACCTGGTCTCATAAGGGTTCACAGAGACTGCACTGATTCAAGGAGCTTACATGGGCCTGACCTAGGCCCTCTGCATATGTTACAGTTGTGTAGCTTAGTCTTCTTGTGGGACTCCTAGCAGTGGGAGCAGGGGCTGCCTCTGACTCTTTTACCAGCTTTTGGAACCCTTTTCATCCCGCTGGGTTACCTAGTCTAGCCTTAATACAAGGTGAGGTGCCTAGTCTTATTGCAACTTGATATGTTACATTTGTTTGATATCCCTGGGAGGACTGCTATTTTCTGAAGGGAAATAGAGGAGGAGTGGATGGGGGTGGAGGTGGAGGACTGGGAGGGGACAAGGGAGGGGAAACTTAGGTCAGGACATAATATATGAAAGGAGAATAAACAAACTAACGTAAGTAGAAGAAAAAGTGAAGCTGTAGTTGACACTACAATGGTGACAATCAGTAATAGCTATGGTTGGTAAATGCTAGGTACACTAACATATTTAATTCTAACACACCCTCAAAGCATCTCCATCAGACAGATAAGCAAATCTACTAGTACAAAATGTCTTAAGCCAAGCAGAGTTGGCACATGCCTTTAAACCCAACACTCGGGAGGCAGAGGCAGGTGGATCTCTGTAAGTTCGAATCTAGCCTGGTCTACAGAGAAAGTTCCAGGACAGCCAGGGCCACACAGAGAAACCCTGTCATGAAAAACCAACGGGGGTGAAAAAGTCTCAGAACCTTTATAGAGAAATACATAAAAGATTAGACAGTTAAAATTCTACATTTAAAAACAAATCAATCTTTAAATTTAAAATTACAAGCATTTTCTTATAGAATGATAGTAGAAAAAAATTTTAAGATAGTGTTGTGGGACTAAAAATAATTTTAAAAACACAAAAATAAGCCTCCTACTTACAGGAAACGGCTCCAGTCCCTCCTGAATCACAAAACCTTCTATAACATGGGTCAAAATCTGTGGTTTCACAATAGCCTGTGGAGGCTTGTTTTCCAGGCTGGGAGTGCTGCTGGCCAGAGAAGTGCTGCTGCTCCGAGTAGAGGCAGCAGGGATTAAGAGTGGAGGCGCAGCAGCAGAGACATGGGTGGGGTCTGATGGAGACTTGATCACGGAAGCGCTGACTGAAGCCACAGCAGGCAACTCTACTTGTTCTGAAAGAAAAGGGATTTCATAGTTAGCCACTGGCCTACAGAGATGAAAGGGCTTAGGAGTGAGCACAAGAGGACTGCATTTCTACTGCTCTCCAAGAGCGTGCTGCCGTCTCATTTAACCTGTGCACTATCCCCACGCTATAGACATTTCCTAATGTGCTCAAAATTATCACCTACACATTTTTAATGTCCCCATAAAATCTGCAAATGCCCTAAATAGCATCTCAAAAATAACTACAAAAATGCTCAGTTGAGTTTGTCTGCTTTTAAGCTACACAGACAATAAATGTCTCACATTTCTGTTTATTCCACGTAATTCAGATGGACGTATATTCACTTAAAAAATTCAAAAGGACCCCCAAATCCATACAATTAGGAATTTCAGTGACTTGGGCAGGTTATAGGCCGTAGCCTGAAAGGAGGAAGCTCTTCTCAGAAGCCATGTCACTTTCTTTCAACTTCGTGTTGCTGAGTGTGCTGACTGGGGAAATGCCGAATGCCGCACAGAGTACATAGCAAGCCCAAGTAAGGGTCCGCTGAGAATGTCTACTGAAAGGAGGCACTACTCACAGTAGCCTCAGTCCTTGACTGTCAGTGCTAACGCAGAGAGGTCAAACAGCTAACATGTAGGCATATTAGTGAGAACAGAACTCTGAAGAAAGCAGAATGCATGCTGCAAAGTCACTCCCTGACCTCTTGGTTGTCTGATGTCATGGCCAACGCTTTCATGCTGTACCTCATTTGCTGCTGAGATTCGAGGCACTTGCCATCCTGCCTGGGGATTTTTATATGGTGCTAGGGACTGAAACCAGAGCTTTGTGCATGCTCACCAAGTACGCTATCAATTGAGTTATATACCCAGCCCCTAACATAATCTCTTGACAGTCTGATTTATACTAATTGTGGGGTGTGTGTGTGTGTGTGTGTGTGTGTGCAAACACATACATAAAAGCACGTGTGACGGTCAGAGGACAACCCTGGATGTGCATCTCTGACTCTACTTATTTTTAGACAGATGTTTTTGTTATTTGCTGATATATACATCAGGGTATCTGGCCCTCAAGTTCCTGGATATTCTCCTGTCTCATCACTCCTCTAACTATGGGAACATGGGATTATAGGTATATGCTATTGTACCTAGATTTATGTGGACTCTGGGGATTTGAACTCTGGTCCTCATACTTGAGCAACAAGTGCTTTACATCCTGGGCCATCTCCCCAGTCTCTTATTCTAATTTTTAAATAAGAAACAGCTAACACAGGAATGTGAATAGACACATGAAACACATCTGTATAAGCCACTAATAACTATAATGCTTAAAACATCATGTTTACTTTGGGTGGTGCTAAAAGTTTTATAAAACAATAACTTTCCACTGCTATTAAAGAATTTTCCAAGAAACAAGCAATTTTTATTCTTTAATAAGACAATATTCTTTATACATTTTAAATTTCTTATTACTTACATCTATCAAATAGAATCTTGTATATTTTGTATCTCCTCACCTAACAATGGATGTTCGGCTGTCAAATCCTCTCCTCTCCCCACAGTGATCGCTGCTGGAGACAAGGTGGGGGGTGGGGGGGTCCGGTCCATCCTTGCACACTCATCGGACTCCTCTGGCATTTCCTCCTCACACACATCTTCTACTTGATAAACCTGAAATGACAAGCCATACTACCTTGAAATATTTCCAAAAATACATTTAATGAGGTATTCTGAATTTTAGAAGTTTTAATTCTAAATGCATTCAATTTAAAAGCAAAGCAAATGACAATGCTGACAACTTGAAAGGAGAACTTTGGAAGTTTGGAAGCACTCATAAGAATGTTTTATAAGACCTTATGGTGTGTCACAGACAGCAAGCTATGGGCCAGCTAGGTAAGCTTTCCAAAATGATACTGGCCACATCTGAACAAATTTTTTCGAATAAAAAAAAAAAGGTATTTTGCTTTACATAATCAAATAACTATTTCAAAAATACCATCACTTCTGTTCATTTCTACCTGTCATGAATCAAAGAGGTGCTAGTGCTTTTTACATTCTAAGTAAACTTCCAAAATAATGTATATCAGGCCAATATATTGCCAAGGAAATTGTATGCAAGGAAATTATACTTATATTACTCATTATTAAAAACTAAGTTATGAAAATTACTGTCTATGAAACCACAGGAAAGCCAGCAATGATATTTTTATTCCCTTTCTGTTGTATTTAGGAATCAAGTGAGCTCTTAGAAGCTAGTATGATATATGCAGAAAACATCTTTCTCTAACACAGTACACACACCCTAAGCTATACAGGATCTATTTTTGGTTCCCATGGAAGGTTTAGTCCCTTTTATCCAAGTGTGAAGATTTCCTGAAGTACTGTGACATCAAAATCACAGAGAGGGAGCCATGAAATTAGAACAAAATGACTCAGCTAATACTTTGTTAAACCTAAGAAGTAAGTTTCAGCATGCCTCTGGGAATTCGTAGATGAAGGACTCTGACTGCTCGGGATTTATGAAAGTCAATCCTCTACGAACACAAAGCTGTAAAGCAGCTCGTGTTCTTCTGTGTGCCAAAGCTTTCACTTAAATTTACAAAGGATGAGGCTTTTTTTAAAAAAGATTTAACTAATTAAAACTATAACAAATCTTAACAAAATAAAAAAAAACTGAACACTTCAAGTGACATCCAATATTGTATTTTTAGTTAAATTGCTGAAAATGTTTGATAATTTTAGGTGTGTAGAATTTAATATGGAAATAATCAAGATCTCTGAATCTGGCGTAAACCATGTAAAGTTCTATGAAGTTTCATTTATGAAGATATACATGACAATAAGTAATACTAGTTTAAAAACAAACACCTATCTAAGCATCTATTTAGAATGAAGTAACACATCTGCCCAGGAATGGTGGTACAGCCTTGTAATTCTAGCATTTAGAAGCCTGGAACAGAATACTGAGCTCACAGCCAGCCTGGGCACACAGCAAGACCCCATGGAAACAGCAGCAAGAAAAAAAACAAACACACATGAACCCCCCCCCAAAAAAATTCCTTCTAAAATTCCACTAGAGTCATTTTATATCTAACATGCTATCTTGAACTATTATCCAAATCAAGTTCTAAATAGGCAACATTGTTTTGTAAGATACTTCTTCACAACCCATAAACTAGAAAACGGTTTCACCACAAGCCTAACATCACAAGTGGAAGCAGTCACTGTCACTTGTATACCACACAGTGGATGGTCACTAGTGTCTGTCTGTTCATGGTAACAGCAGTGCTTAATATGAGGGTAAAGGTCAGCATAGAATAAGTCAGTGCCCCAAATGACTAGGGGTTAACAAAGAGGACAATCAGCACACATAAAGTAGACCTTCCTGGTACCGAGTAGCACAGCGCCAGCTCTGTACAGGACGGGTAGCCGAAGCAGACAACCGGCTTTATTGAGGAGTCTGGTGTAAACCATTACATTCCCTTTAATAGACTACACAGTCCCTACAAAGAACATGACTACTAAGCTGCCACAGCTCTCTCTACCCTTGACCCTGCCATGCACTGCTAAACAGCTACTTACAGTAGCATCTTTTACGCAATCAAAGCTTGACCATGAACAGAATTATGGTTTTTGAAAACTATTTTTTTTTAAAAAATAAAAGGCTTCATGAATAGCATTGTTTTTCAAATTTCCATCAAGGAACACTATAAAATAGTTTGCATTCTTAAGATGAGGTTGAATATAGAGATCTCTTCACAACCTCCCACATAAAGGAAAACAAGTTAACAGGTAAATAAAGTAGGCAAAAGAAATTTGCCACACATATCTGGTACAATCAGCCCAAACACCATCTAAACACAACTAAAGTACTGAGAAAGGCAGTTAACTGGAGGTTTCGCTCACAAGATCATTACAAACTTGCACAAGTTCTATTTAACTCAGAACTATAACTATTCTAAATATAACGAAGGTCACCAAACTTACCTCAGTAAAGTCCATATTCCCATCTGCCTCCCTTTCCTAAATAAACTGAGGAACATTTGTTTATTAGTTCTAAATTATCTACCCTCAACAGGTTTATTTATATCTAAATCTCAACTTTTAAAAAAAATCGATTTCTTTTTTAGAAATCTTTTCTGAAAACATACTTAGTTTGATAATTCATCTTTTTCATTCAAATGTTTTTATCTTATTAGAAAGAAATAAGTACTTGAAATAATAAAGCGTGGTTTTGATGAATAAAAAAAAGCAACAACAACAAAACAGCCACTTAATCAACAGCTGACGTGAAAAGAATGGAAAGGAAACTAGCAGGCAGACAGCAACAGAGGAACCTTCCAGAAAAGTCAGTGGCCTTGTTTTCATAACAGAGGGCAAAATCAGCAAAATCCAATAATATTTCTAACTTAATATTTAAAATGTTTTATTTTTTGGCAATTCTACCCTAAATATGTTGACCCAAAGTCCTCTTATAAAAAAATTTTTTTAAATATGGATTATAGAAACTTTATTATTTACTTGTTGAAAACCAAACACAACTAAATGTTGAGAAAATTAAATTATATTTGATTTTTTTGAAAGTACTGTATTTTTCCTATATATTTTCCTCATTTTTAATGGTTTTGTTCTGGCAGTAGTGGGGATGAACCAGGGTCTGACACATGCTAAACAGGCCTTCTACCACTGAGCTACATCTTTAAGGCAAAACCTGTTTAAGTGCTCTAAAAACGCATTAAAAGAAAATACAGAGGCATAATTAAATGGTTAGCTTATCTAATCCTTGTTTCTCTTGGGCTCTGGCTTTCCAGGGTAGTAAGAGGTAGGACTGAGAAGCAGCTCTGAGCCTATTAAGATCACTCAGGATAAGACTGAGTCTAAGAGTCAAATGTCTCTACTAATGAAGAGAGGGTAGCTCCTTTCCTTCCTGAGGTCACCGTTAATTAAATCTACTCTGTGGGAACTCTGTAACCAGGGCTGCTTTTGAACTTACTGGACAGTCCAGGATGACCCAAACTGATGATCTTCTTGCTGTAGTTTCCCAAGAACTGGGATAACAAGAGCATCAAACCATGTCTGACACTGAGTTATTTTCAAAGTTTGACACAAAACTTCCTTTTAGAAAAATTGTTTTTCTCAGTGAGAAACTGAATTTAGTCATTCTGATTAAATTCATAAAGAACTTATCTCAATTTTTGTATAAACCATCTTATAAGTTTCAGTAAGTCCTTCAGAGAAAATTTTGAAACAGAAAAATACTTTCAAGGTACTTTTTAGGCACCATGTGACTCTTTCTAGAGGTTCATCCTGATACACTCCACTGAAATCCAATTACTCAAAACTTTTACTCCATGTGTTACACTTCTTTCATTCTCCATATCAAAGTCAGAAACTCAAGCTTTTAGCCTTTTAACTGAGAACTAATTTAAGTATATATTTTCGCTTAGAATAGAAATTTTAAAGTCAGTTGTTTTTTACAAAGTTGAACTCTACTGTAGAATAAAGTTCTTAACAGTTTTAATTACAAAATATAATTTCATCAGAAAAGTTATATCATACAATCATACCTCTTCCATCAAAGAAAAGATGCTCAAGACCCAGGACTTCTGAGTGCATACAACCAAAAGGTTAGCTAGATAAACCATGCGTTTAAGAACATACAAGCCAACAGAAGGAAGGGAGCTATGAAGGATAATCACCTTAAGAGAAAAAACTTTGTGCAGATGACACTGGTTCAAATGCATTCCCTTGGGGAAAAAAAATCAACTCTGTAAAGATAGCAGATGGGTTTGTTTAAATAGTAATAAATTAACGAGGGACTTTAATAACCATCACAAATTTAAAGCATGCAACCATACCACAACAAATGACAGTTTTTCCTTTGCTCATACAATACATTGTCAGAATCTGACACAGGAAAAATACAAGCTTAAAAAATCATAGGCATTGAGACTTAGCAGTATAGCATAGTGTGGGAGGAACAGATTTACGTTCAGTTCAGCAAGAAAGTCAAAGAGCTGCCGAGGGCTTACCACTGGTGGATCAACAGGTGCCGGCGGCTGTACTTGTAGATTTACCGCAACAGTCTGTGGAGGAGGAAGAGTCTGAAATGGCAACTGGACCAAAGCTTCTGCAGCAGGTAGCTCCTCTTCTGACACCAAAGCATTCTGCACCAAAACCTGGCCCTGGGACAGAATTTCAGGCTGCACTTGTAAAGACTGCATAGACTGCAAGGGCAGTGGTGGGAGCTGAGCTGGAGGAGATGCCGACATCTGTGGAGGGGTTGCGATTGGAATTGGAGATGACTGTAGAGTTGAATATTGCTGGTGTGATGTTGGGGACACTATCTGCTGACCAGGGGACACCAAGGCAGACTGCTGGACAGGGCCAATGTGTACAACAGGGGATGCTGGCAGTGGAAGATGGGATGGAAGATTCAGCTGTGCTGTGGACTGTACCTGATCAGCAGTCGCCTGCTGCAAATTTGGCCCTGTTTGAAGAGCTGAAGACACAAGAGGGTGTGGCTGGACAAGTGCTTGTGGATGGATAATTATAGTAGGAGACTGACTTGGGGAGTGAGGTGGGGGAGGAGACACCACCACAGACTGCTGTGCAGATTGCGCCTGATTAGGAGACACAGTTAAAGGTGGGGGATGGCTCTGAATTGGGGAGCAATGCTGGGTCTGGGCATTACTGGGAGCCGGAGAAAGGCCATGGTTTGGGAGTGGGACACAGTGCTGGGACGGGGGTGGCTCTTGACTTGGACTCTGAAGGGTGATTGGCTGAATTTGCTGCTGTTGCTGTTGTAATATCAGCTGATGATGGGAAACTTTAGGAGGTGGTGAATGAAGAGGAATCTGTTGATGTTTGATTAAAGAATGAGGCTGAATTGGAGAATATGAAGCTGTGAGAGAAAAAAATGACAATTAGTACTGATTTCAAAACAGAATAGTTTTACATAAACCTAAAGGAGGAGAGTTTTCACATCAGAGTCATAGTCACTAGCAGTCTACAACAAGTCTTTCAGGCGTGAATAATTTGTAATTCTGTGACAACATATATCCCTTGCAAGGCTAAAAATACTGGATAAAGTGAACTATATTGTGAAATGCTGAAGGGAAAACAACATAACCACATATGTACAATCGCATATGTACAATCACATATGTGCAATCACATATGTGCAATCACATATGTACAATCACATACGTAGGCCTTCATTTGTTCTACTCTTCCTGTCGTCACAGCAGCTTCATTAGCTTTGAACACTTAGGTCTATGCGCTGGAGTCTGTCTCTTCTCTGAAGGAGAAGGATCATCATTCAACAGGTACAGTACACATAAGGGCAACTTCAAGACCAAAGATCTCATCCTATCTATGACAAAACATGTCTCAAACTAATAGCAAAATCAGTTAACTAGAAAGCATCCCAAGTAAGCGTTTTAGCTCAGATAAAGTCTTAATTGTTGATCAGAAAGAAAATTGTTTCACATAAAACTCCAATTCAGCAAAAACACATGGCTGAATCTTGTAGTGCTCAAGCCAGTCCAAATCTAGGTGAGCAATCTATTTCTCGCAGAGAATGAAGAAATGAGATCATGCTACCTAAGTAAGGATGGTGTTTATCCCTTTCCACTCAATGGAAACCCCAGAATGAAGGATAAGGTGACTGGTATCAGATCTCCTCCACAGAGATGCTCACAACAGTGATACATTTAGACGGGGTCACCCTAAGTTGTGAAAGGTTACCACTCTTTACAGAGTAGAAGCTGATGAAATCCTCCCTATCTAGAACTGAAAACTGAATGTACTGGAAGATAAACTGAAACAACTGCTTCATACTGCACAAAAGTAAACACATCGAAGCCGGGTGTGGTAGGCACACCCTTAATCCTAGCACTGAGAAGGCAAAGGCACACAGACCTCTTACTTAGAGGCCAGCTTGATCTACATAGCGAGTTCTAGGCCACTGAGGGCTATAAGGAAACTCATCGTCAAAGTCTCTACTCCCCCGTCCCTGCCCCCACAAACAAAATAGTCATCTATATCAAATCTAAAGATAAAATTTTTTAATCCTGCAATGAAAATATAAAAGTTATGTAACAACTTACATCATTTTATATTCAACCACATTTAAGATAACAGCATTATATAAACTTCTAATAACTTTTTTTCTTAAACATTTTTGTAGTTGATTAAAATTTAAAATTTAAGGATCAGGCTGAAAAGACTTCTCAACAGTTAAGAACACTGGCTGCTCTTCTAAAGGACCCAAATTTGGCTCCCAACATCCACATGGCTGCTCTTAACAATCTGTAACTCCAGTCCCAGGGGATCCAATGCCCTCTTTTGGCTTCCTGAGTTACCAGGAACACATGAGGTACACACATACACACAGCCAAAAATCATATAAAATGATTTGTTTAAAAATTATAGCAGGCTGGAGAGATGGCTCAGCGGTTAAGAGCACTGACTGCTCTTCTAGAGGTCCTGAGTTCAAGTCCCAGCAACCACATGGTGGCTCACAACCATCTTTAATGGGCTCTGATGCCCTCTTCTGGTGTGTCTGAAGAGAGCAATGGTGAATACATAAAATAAATAAATGAGTCTTTAAAAAAAAAAAAAAAAAAAAAAAAAAAAAAAAATTATAGCAGTACTTTAAAGAAATTAGCATCTAATTAATATCTCAAAAAGTATTTAGAAATTTCAATAGATATCTACTAATTATTTTTAAATGGAGGACTGAGGTTACAGCTCAGTGTTAGAACAGATGCTTAGAATGCATATGGCATGGATTCAAACCAAGAACTGAAAAAAAATAGGTCTAAAATTTAATCTAAAAATATTTTCACATAAGCTAGTAATTCAAATTAAGACTGTCAGCCCTTTACAAATGTGGCGATAGCTATATTACATAGTATTCAAAAGAGAACAGTGAATGAAATCCTGCAATTCTATAAGTGCTCTCAAGTATCTCATCAATACTTGTACAACAGCTATGGTTACAGTAAGTGGCTTACTCCTTCTTTCAGATAAGAAAATAGATCTTTTTGCCTCCATTTAAAAGACAAATTAAATTTATCACCTTTTCCAAACACTTTATTTTAAATTATGTGTCCATGTGTGGTATGTGTACATGAGTGTGAGTTACTGGGAAAGCCTGAAGATGGCATCAAGATTCCCTCGAGCTGGAGCTACGGATGGTTGTGAACATCCGCCATGGGGTCTGGGAACAGATCTCTAGTCTTTGTAAGAACAACAATCATTCTTAACTGCTAAGTGTCTCTCCAGCCTCACATGGGTCATGCTCCTGAACACAGGGGATGCGTCCACTAGAATAAACTTTCTGGGATCTAGTACTTAAGCAATCTGGTATTTTAGCAAAGTAAAAGTCTATTCTTCATCTAAATTAAAATCTTCTCAGATCAGAAGTCAGAGTGCAGGGACAATCCTAGAACAGAGGACAGGGATTGTGAGCGAGGAAAGCTGATCATGTCTAGAAAGCTGTGCTTCACTGGTGACTTTCTCTAACTTTAATGAACACTTTATTATTGTCAGAGTGGCCTAATATTTAAAAGATTAATGACTAATATAATCTCTCATTATTTACAATAATATATCATTTTATTTACTACAACTCCATGAAGTATACATGGTACTAAACTAATCCAACATGTGACAGATTAACTAAAATCATATATCAAATCCTGACTAGAGAGCTACATTATAAACTGTTTGTTCCCCTTCCCCCAAATTCACATGTGGAAACCAAACCCCCAAAAAAGGCTATATTTAGAGATGGAGAGGCTAGGAATTACAGTCACAAGAGATCCTGGGAGTAAGGCCCTAACATAGCAGAGATTTGTATACCAATAAAAAGACATTCAGGGCTGACAATATGACTCAACAGGTAAAGGCAGGTGCTGCCAACCCTGATGACCTGGTTCAATCCCTGGGACCCACACCACAGAAGGAAAGAACCAACTCCTACATGTTGTCCTCTGACCCCGACATGCACTCTGAAATGCTCACACTGCCTACACTAACCTGCACATAAAATAAGCAAGTAACCCTTAAACAATGTATATAAAGAGGTAGCAAAGAGCCCCCTCAACACTGTGCAATCACAGGAAAGTCCATGTGAGGACAAAGAGAAGTGATAAGGCAAAAAGACATCCTAGTCGGAGCTGGGCATGCTTAGACTTTGACCTGGGACCTCCGAGGTACCTAGATAAACCAATAGAGGACTTTTTCACTAAATGCTGAATTACTGTCTAAATAAGAAAAAGAAAAGAAAAAAAGCCCACTAAAACCTGCTTAAATGTGAACTTTTACCTTTATATTTTTTTTATGCCACCCACATCCAGGTGGGCCTTCCTTCTTTTTTTTTTTATTGGATATTTTATTTACATTTCACATGTTATGCCCTTACCCCGTCCCTCCCCACCCCAACCCCCCCCCCGGCCCAGGAATCCCCTATCCCATCCCCGCTTCTATGAGGATGTGTCCCCAAGTACCCGCCCACTCCCACCTCCCCACCCTCCAATTCCTCCACACTCGGTGTCCAGCCTTCATGGGACCAAGGATCTCCTCTCCCACCTATGCCCAACAAGGCCATCCTCCCTTACATATACAGCTGGAGTCATGGGTCCCTCCCTAAGTGCTCCCAGGCTGGTGGTTTAGACCCTGGGAGCTCTGGTTGGTTGGTATTGTTGCTCTCCTCATGGGGCCACAAACACTTTCAGCTCCTTCAGTCTTCACTCTAACTCCTCCATTGGGAATCCATGATCAGATCAATGGTTAGCTGTGAGCATCTGCCTCTGAATATGTCAGACTCTGGCCGACCTCTAAGGAGACAGCTAGATCAGGATCCTGTCAGCATGCACTCCCTGACATCCACATCAGTCTTTGGTGACTGCACATGGGATGGATACCCAGGTGGAATGGTCTCCAAACGGCCCTTCCTTCAGTTTATGTCCCACACTTTTGTCTCCACATTTGCTCCCTTGAGTATTTTGTTACTCCTTATAAGAAGAACCGAAGCACCCACATTTGATCTTTCTTCTTCATGAGTTTCATGTGGTATGTGAGTTGAATCTTGGGTATTGCGAATTTTGGACTAATATTCAATTATCAGTGAGTGCAAACCATGTGTGTTCTTTAATGATTGGGTTACCTCACACAGAATATTTTCTAGTTCCACCCATTTGACTAAGAATTTCTCAAATTCATTGTTTTTAATAGCTCAGTAATACTCCATTGTGTAAATGTACCACATTTTCTGTATCCATTCCTCTGCTGAAGGACATCTGGATTCTTTCCAGCTCCTGGCTATTATAAATAAGGCTGCTACGAACATAGTGGAGCATGTGTCCTTGTTATATGTTGGAGCATCTTCTGGGTATATGCCCAGGAGTGGTATAGCTGGGTCCTCGGGTAATGCTATGTCCAATTGTCTGAGGAACCACCAGACTGATTTCCACAGAGGTTGCCCCAGCTTGCAATCCCACCAACAATAGAGGAGTGTTCCTCTTTCTCCACACGCTCGCCAGCATCTACTATCACCTGAATTTTTGATCTTAGCCATTCTGACTGGTATGAGGTGGAATTTCAGAGTAGTTTTGATTTGCATTTCCCTGATAACTAAGAATATTGAACATTTGTTTAGGTGCTTCTTAGCCATTTGAGTTTCCTGAGTTGAGAATTCTTTGTTTAGCTCTGTATCCCGTTTTTAATAGGGTTATTTGATTGTCTGAAGTCTAATTTTTGAGTTCTTTGTATATATTGGATATTAGCCCTCTATCAGATGTGGGATTGGTGAAGATCTTTTCTCAATCTGTTGGTTGCTGTTTTGTCCTACTGACAGTGTCCTTTGCCTTACAGAAACTTTGCAATTTAATGAGG